ACTATATGTTATAGTAATGATTTATTTCAGTCTAACTATGGTATTATTGATGTTATATGTTATCATAATGGTTTATTTCAGCCTGATCATTGTATTATGGATAATGTATGCTATGGTAATGGTACGATATATAATACCGGTAACAGAGAATTTGTATGTAAAGCTGATGGTATTTCTAAGGCTTGGCATCCACGTGAGTATTGTTTTTTATTAAAACATTTCCAGGTATCTTGTTTATAATATGTTTTACAAGCTAAAAAAGATTTTCAATTTTGTTGTTGTTACATGTAATACCTTTAAATCATTTTTCACCTTTTAATATTTTCTTATATATTTTAGTTATTAATGGAACTGTTACAGATAATGGTATGGTAGAAGGTATTTTCAATCATTTTATTTTTATTTTTAAAAATAGCACTGAACTAATTATATTGTGTCTTGTGTTTGTTAATGTAAATTGTAAAAATCGGCAACGGTTGCAATTCACAATGAATATTATAAGATATATTGAAACTTAAAGATCGTGCAGTTGAGAATCCAAATCACAAAGTGGTTTCGGGTGTTCCAGCATTTAACACGGATGTTTAATATTTGTAGATGAAATTGATGCTGTTGCAATTGGTATATCAGTAGCAGTAGTTGTGGTTATCATTATAGTTGTTTCACTTATCATCGTGTGTGTGCGGAAAAGGTCAGTTGTCAGTTCACCCCATAAATAATAACGACCAATACACCAAAACATGATCATGGCTATGATATTGTCGTTGATCAGAAAAATGACGAATTTGAGAATATCGAGAAAAATGTTTGTTCATATATTTATACCCTTTATGGATTTCTATGAAACTTCAAAGTATGATTTTTATACTTCTTTGTCCCAAATATATGTGTAGTAATGCACTGAATAATCTTCTATATTAGAACACACCTCCTTAGAATATCAATCCCGAAGTTTTCCTCCACCCCCTTAAAGTCAGTCTGCCCCCAATTTTTACCTCCAGGTCAGGGAAGCTGGGACAGCTATTGTAAGTGGTGCCACTTTTTCAGGACGAAATTCCACTGTCGGGTCCCACATAGTAGTAGTTAGTAGTGTTAATAACGACCCGATGACCGTTGTAAATGCTTCCCTGGTCGATGCTAATGGATTACAAGGATTGCCGATCTGACTGTATAAACTCACAACCACACACCATCCGGCAAACCAAGTCTGCGATATCAGCATTTATTGGAAGCTAACGTTAACTTGTTGTTTACCAACTAACCGGCCAACCGGAAGTAAAATATGACACAAACGTGTAACCATTACTGTTATTATGGATAATATTCATACGAAATTAAAACATTCAATTTGGTTTGCCACGGCAATTTTGGCATCATTTTCATAAAAGAAACGAAGCAGACGTTTTTTACGTAAAAAGAAATCCTCCAAAATATTAGGTCACCGAAACTTCCACCAGTTATTGCCAAATATATACTTCCGGTTGACAGGTTGATGTGGTTTGGATTCAATACCAACTCGACCATAGGTTCTGTAGTCCCTGTAATTCTTTAGATTCAATTTTAATACATGTACATTTAATATTTTATTTTTCAGGAGGAATTCAAAAAAGCCCTATGATGTCCCCTCACCAGCTACAAATCCGGCGTTTGATTCAAGAGGTGAAGTTCGCACCGACAATACTTATGATTCGATGACTGTTGATCAGAACAATCACATTTATACGGAAATAACTGAATAAATGAATAAAACTATTACCAGGTCTGTTGAGCTGACAACTTTTTCTTATTTACATTTTGTTATGAATAGCATTCTACACTGTTAATTTACTCGTTGCAGTACATAGTTTATATCCGTTACTCGGTTAATTTGCGCTTACGCCCCCTTTTTAGCTCGAAGCTGTGCACAAATATATAAATTGCTAGTCCCTGTAATTCTTTAGATTCAATTTTAATACATGTACATTTAATATTTTATTTTTCAGGAGGAATTCAAAAAAGCCCTATGATGTCCCCTCACCAGCTACAAATCCGGCGTTTGATTCAAGAGGTGAAGTTCGCACCGACAATACTTATGATTCGATGACTGTTGATCAGAACAATCACATTTATACGGAAATAACTGAATAAATGAATAAAACTATTACCAGGTCTGTTTAGCTGACAACTTTTTCTTATTTACATTTTGTTATGAATAGCATTCTACACTGTTAATTTACTCGTTGCAGTACATAGTTTATATCCGTTACTCGGTTAATTTGCGCTTACGCCCCCTTTTTAGCTCGAAGCTGTGCACAAATATATAAATTGCTTGTTAATTTGCACTCATTTTCTTACGCACAAAGTAAATCATAATTTCTATAAGTATCTCTGTTTATTTGCGCTGATGTGCCTAAGCTCGAAGCTGTAAATATTTTTTTTTATTATACGTAAATCTTTTAATTAACACTAAATTTATTTGACCGTTTTAATAAAATTATTCATAAAATGTTTTGTTTTCACTTCGATTACCACTTGTTATAAACCTTAAGTGACGTCATCCCATTGTTCTAGTGGGATTGCATATCTGTTATAATCCCGCAGTTATTAAACCTCAGGGATATTGTATATTAGGTAGGTCGCAAGCTGCATCGACCTAGTTTGTCGCAACGAGTTGCACCCTTTGCCCCGAAAAGTCTCCTCTTTAAACTATTATGAGAGCTGAGAGGACAATTTTATTCAATATTGGCTTATTAGGATAATGTATAGGATAAAGGCGACAGAGGGCCTTTATAATAATTAAATTCCCGCATCCCGAGGATTTTCCGGAAAAGAGTTTTATCTGACTTATAAACAGACATTTGCTTTTTTTGCAATTGTATACTGACGGGTGTTACGTGTTTACTGACGTACTGACGTGTGACGGAGAAGTTATTCGTTTGGAAAAACGATAAATAATAATTAGATAAGGGACGCAACTCGCGCCTTCAAGACTCTGTCAGTTCATCAACCAGTGAGATTGTTTTACAATTAGGTCTTTGGAACTTCAGTTTTGAATTATCTCCGATAAGGTAATCTTGCTAAATAGTTTCGTGTTACGGAGTAAATATGTGTCGATATATAGACGTTGTTCACTGGAGTTAAACATCGTGTATTTTATACAAATTCATAACATTCCCGAGAAGAGATGTTTTTCTGGTAACGTTGTGCAACTCGTATCTACAAACATGGGCAATTCAGCCGGTGACCATTGAGGATTCTGGAGAAATAATGTACATATAATCACACCGGAATTTTAAAATATGATATCCCTGGTATTCTATATACATATTCCCCGTAATTTTATAATATATTATATCCCTGAAATATAAAATCTCTTCACAACAATGGGATGGCGTCACTAGAGGCTATACAGCTACAAAATTATCTGGAGTATTTCAACCGTAATTTTGAAACGACTCTAGTCTTTTCCCTTTACATTGGGCTCAAATTTGTAAGATTCTCAGGGATTCACTTTATTTAAATAGCGTCGGTTCTGGGTGGTGAATTTTAAATGATCATAACGATTTCTTCAGTGTGTTCATATATAAACAACATAACGTGAAAATTGCTGAAACGAGCTACATAAGTGAAACATGGTAGAAATATGTAACACTTTAGGACGTAAGCGACGAAGAGAGAACCTTATCAGATATCAGAAGGGTTTCCTTCTTTTCCCGTTTTTCCTGAAAATTACAAATTTATTTTCCTTCCGTACTAGAATACATAAAAACTTTTGTTTATTACTATTATCACAAATACATATATTGTATAATATATCATTAACACAGAAATATAATCAAATATATCCACTTTTACATAACACTAAGTTTTGTTTTTCAATGACAGGTGTCGATCGATGCAGGATATGGTCGCTAGTTTTTAGGTGGCACGTTACTAAATTTGTATTTGTATTGTTTGTTGTGTTTGTTGAGTAGCTATGGCGGATGTGGCGCCAGGCAGGATAGGCTTATTAAGAAAACATACTCACTTAAGATTGATATACTTCCTCATGTGAGGAAGCTACTACCAATGTTTCGCAAAATGTTGATTTCGTTTTGATCGTTATTAGATGTCTTTGATGAAATGCTTAACCAATGCCATAATTAGTAACAGTTACTTAGCTAAGTCAACAAGTTATTTTGTGATTGATCTGCAGTGTCTACAGAGACTGGTGAGTCTGTTTAAAAAGTTATGTTAGAAATATACAAAATATAAAATATTGATATGTAAGAAACTCAGAACAACATCTTTGAGTAATCACGCCTTGGTTGGTTTGGTATTCATGTCGTACTTTGGTCCAATTTTTCTGAAAAAAGACAAGTATATATATATATATACATGTATATGTATTCGAACTGGAGTAACGGATGCTACGGGGTGTTGGTTTTACATTGCCACGCTACTTTTCAGAATGAAATGGCGATGGCGTGTTGGCAAACAAAAAAATAAAGGATTGCTGTAAACCTCAATGGTTCTTTCTTGTTCAGGTTTTGCATGTTAATTTTAACTCATTTTCGCTTTATCAGAAATTCATCTAGATTTGTGGAAATATTAAGAGATGTAGAAGCAGAGAGATAAGTGTTTTCATAAGTCATTTTCTTTACATCGGATTTTGTTTCAAAATGTTCATGCATATCATACATCATTCATCATTATAAGTATTGGCCAAGCTTTCGTGAAACACAATCAAAAGCTCTTCACTTGATTTCGGGTCAAAGTTTTACAAGAGTGAATTGTTTGACCTATAGTAAGAACTATTGAAATTTGTTCCAGTAAAGTCGTGCAAATATATTTGTGAACATCAGGAATCCGGGAGCCGTTGAAAACATAACATTAACATTTTCATTTTAGTTTTCTTTGGTGCAGAATAAGCTGTAATTCGTGTTATGTAGATTAAATGAGTTCTTAACTAATCATCCTACACCTAAATAAAGTGGATTGTTTGTGTTTATGTTTTGAATGTAATCCATTGGCGCCGCCTCAACTGAAAATAAACAATTTAACCAAGTTTCGTCAATATAGCCATTCAGAATTGTTCAATAAATAGTTTAACATCAATTGTTTTGGATGGGCGGACATGGGTGATCTATACGATCCAAATTTCATGAGTACTAAAGGGTAAGCAAAATGTACATATTTGTAAATTATGACGTACCTTTGTCTCAAGTACAAGAATATACCGAATACAAGAATAATCAGTAAGGCGATTGTAACGGATAAACACACTCCAAGAATCAAAACTAGTTCATCTGAAAAACACGGCAAAAACAATATTGTAGAAATGGTCAAATTGGTAGATCTACAAAATTAACCTCCTAATCAAGGGTATAGTCAGGACAATTATCATATATATTTGCCATAATTAATGATTTGAAATATTTTGTTAAACCGTCAATGTCACATTTGTTTAAAAGGAGGATCAAGAGTACATTCTCATTATGAAAATCACATCGAACAATCCAAGTAAACCGATGCATTCAGTGATATAAGAAAAGAGCCCAATGAAGTCAATGTATTAGTGTTAGTATTAGGTTAACACAAGCACTAGTCAGTCCACCTTCCCAAAACAAAGATCATACCTGTTTTATAATGTCGCAGATCTTGGACAAAACCATGTTTTCCATGACCATTGGTTGGTCTCTGATTGCCTGGATGATTGTAGGGATCTGTGGGGCTTGACTTCTCGTGGTTGGCATCATTATCCACAATTGCAGTTGAGAGACTTTCATACTTCTTGGTAGTTGAAGATACAGTAGTTGGACGCGATGTTTGGTAGCAATAAGTAGAGTCACCTGTAACCATATAACCGAAAGGTTTTGAAAGCCATGAAATGTAGCCCAAAAATAGGCCAAAGACTGAAAATTCTATATTAATAAATATCCGTACAAGCAAAAACAATGACGCTAACCAAAATTCTAAACTAAAAGTTGTAAAGTAGTGGACTCCTCCAAAGAGAAGTAGCATCAGGTTCTTGAAATATAATTGGAATGCCACAGAAGGTCTATAATAACAGGGAACAGTAGCGACAGACCCAGAGAATGCCAAAAATAATTGACTTTTGTTATCCAGTTTTAAGAAAAGACTCAGTTGTAGGCTATCGCCAGATGCTCATAGCTACAGAGAATTGTGATGCACAGCTGCAGTTTACAGTATGCTATTTCCCTTCATAATTAATATTTTTGATATTATTTATATTTTTTGGTAATTTACTTACCGAAGCAATAACGCTCATCACTACCAAACGTTCTCATCAAGTTATACACCATATAGTCCGTGCAGTTCTTAATCTGTATCGGATACTCGACCTTACAGCAGGATGAAAACATACTTAAACATCCCATTCTATCAACTATACCATCTTCTACTGTAGGATGGGTACCTATAGATAATATGATAAAACATACTTAAACATCCCATTTTATCAACTATACCATCTGCCGTTGGAACAAAACCACCTAAACAGGAATATAATCAGTTCCGCAAAAATAATACATAGTGTAGATTTATCGTTTGGTTTTTAATCTGCAGCGTAGTAAGTTGCCATGTTTATTGTTTGATCTGGTAAACCATTTCTTTTAATCATGTTCTGTCGAAATTTACCCAAAGATATAAGAAGCAATCACCAAACGCTGTTAAAAATGAGTTGACAATATAAGGAGTCTAACAGTAAATTATGAATCATTAATCCCTTAAATATTAAGAATTTGTTTCTATTTTAACGAGCATTGGATTAAATATTAAATGAACCAGAATAAGAGATGCGTAATAATTTCGTCCGATCATTGATGGCAGGTGAAGTCACTAACAGAAAAAGACGAAACGAGGAAACTAGATGAAAAACAAAATCCATATATATTATTGCAATAGAAAAAGTAACGTAAGCCTACCATTCAACCAGACATTGCTATGAGAGCCACAAAATCCATGAGGAACACACTCGGTAGGCATAGTAAGATCCTCTCCTGTTGACTCTAGTTGGACTCTTCTCCATCCTTCAGCTATAAATCTATCATGGGACTCAGAATAATACAGTGAACAATTAATACTTCGTCCACCATCATCGGATAACATTCTGTAGCTGTTACATGGATCATCTTGTGATGAAACTGAAATACAAATATTTATATAGTAACACTTGATTCTAAACATAAACATTTCTACTTTGTCTCTGGAGAAGGCGTCACAATCGAAAACTACAAATGGTGGTAACTAAATGGCCTAACGACCCAAACGAACCAATCGCAAAACAATACCAGAAATACCAAACAAAATGTTAGCAATATACTAAGATGTGTGGAATTTGATGTATTATTACCCAGTTAACCAACAAGATTACATGTGATGTCTTTATAACAGTTCTCATATCTAAATTAGTTTGCTTATCTCATTTTTCTGTGACCTATATCTTTTGAGTTTATTATCTCCCTTGAAAAAAAATTATTTTCTTTCATCTAAGGTGAATGTTACATTTTTTGTCAGTTGTTGTAGTGTTGTTCTTCGTAGAAATAGCACCTTTCTTGCTTTTTTTTGTTAAAGGGATAAGTCCTGAAATGTAGCTACATTTACTCTAATAGTATCGACTTTTTACCTACTGTTTGCACGTTATCGTGTGGTTTATTTTTTCCTTTATGCTCCGAATGTAAATACTGGTATGATTATGTACATATTCAATCTTTATCGGTGCTAGTTACGTAAACTCTACGGAGAGAAGTGATTTTATTTTATATGAAAAAGAAACAAAATTTGAATTTCAGAGTATGGGGGCCAGAGTAGGGCCACTAAAATTGTTCAGGGGGGCACAGGTCATTCTTTTACCATGTAAATGTGGCTTTCTTTGCCATTCTTGAATACCGCAGTCCATTTCGTCACAGTGGAAAGGGAAGGGGTATCATCCGTTAATTGAGAGACCATGTTAGCATGTATCTTCGGGTATTTGATAACTGTCATATAGCCACTTTCGTCTATTTCTGGTAATTTACAAGATGGTCAGGTGGAAAGACAATAATAACACTATATTTGCAGATCTTATATCTATGATTTATTAAATGATGGCAAATATTTGATTCAATCCGATTGAGATATCCAACTTAAGCATAGAACATTTCACAAAACCCTCGTAACTGTTCTCCATGATTTATGAAGCAGAACTTGCCGTCAGTTCCCAAGAAACAGACGTCTTGATGTTGCTTATCCAAACTTACAAACTGGAAAGAACAGTCTGAATTGTAACATTTCTGTGTGGAGCTTATACAATAACGAAACAACGCTTCTGAAATATAAGGTTTCATGCTCTGAACGGTTCCGGTATGTCTGATAATAGAACCAACATAGCTCATTTACTTTTGTGTAGATTTCGGATCGATGCAAAATACAAAGCATTCTGAGAGCATAAATCAGCGGGCGGATCAATGTCATTGACTCATTACTGATAATTACTACTGAACCGAGGATCTCACAATAACTGGCTGCTGCACTGTTAGTTTCCATGACTTGTATTTGCTCGCAGTGAGATCCTGCACTGGCTATGCATGTGTAGCCATCTTAATATAATCATAAGTATATACGCAAATTGAGATGTCTACTAGTTAAGTAAAAATATGCAAGTTTTACAAAATTCATCAGTATATCATACTATAACTCCATGTCTTATTATTACACTTATTAAAATCTGTGTCTCAGTTTTACACCATCTCCATTCTGGGATTGTACTTCCTGTTATAGTGAAGGCTCAGATTTAAAGTGTACTTTTAATTTTCAATATAATAAATGTTTATAACATTTAATTACTTTATTGTATAAGCCATTCTGCAAGTTGACCCACCAAGTTAAAATCCTAGCCTCAGCCAGATCAGATCCCACTTTTTTTGCTAACCATCTCCTTCATACACCTGGGGACAAGCTCTGATTAGTTTATTCATCAGGAGAAAGGTTACACATGGGACTGAGGTTAATTGGTCCGATAATGTATGCTTTTTCTTTTTATCTTTTTCTGTATTTGATATCGATGCAAAATCTACACAAAAGTGAATGGATTTGACGATTCCATTACCATCCTGGTCTCAGAAAATATATATTTATACAATTCATTTGTACCTGTAACGCATGTAAGAGTAAAAAATATCACATTATTAGTGTTCGGCAGCCATTTTGGACGCCATCTTGAAATTCATACCCTTAGAAAAGTCAGGGAAATTGACATCCAAATTCTTTTTAAAGCATATAATAAATCATCAAGTGAGTTTTTGCTTTAATCAAAACAATAATACACTAGAGCCACTCGTGGCACAGAGTGGGACTTTGCAAATGTAGCAAAATGCAAAAGAACCTGAAAAAATCAACCTTCCACGATAATTAGATCAAGCGCAAGAACGGTCTAAAGTTGAGAAATTTTCATTTTTTAGAAGATTGTAATACCGGAAGTGGACGTCAGACCTCACAAATGAAAGTATCAGCAGATAGCCAAGGTCAATGACCTTTGATCTTGTAAAGGAGAAGGTCTAAAAAGGTCAAGATCAAGAGATATACGCCATCAAAATTTCAAATTGCTAACGACTATAAAACCGGAAGTTGACATAGGACGGCAAATATAAAAGTATAAATAGATAGCCAATGCCAATGACGTTTGATGTTAGAAAGGTCAAGGTCAACAAAGGTCAAGGTCAAACATTGAAAATTTTTAAATTCCAAAACCTGTTCCTTTTTTTGAACTATGAAGCAAAAACAATTGAAATTCTAAGACAAAGTGGCCCAATATATGAGGTAATTGTATGCAAAGTTCCATTTTGAACAAATGTATACTTTGCGAGTTATGCCCCTGGCCAAAAATGTCAATAATGAGTAATTTAACCCGGATGTGCCACGCCCACTTCAATTTTTTCTGCATAGGTTAATTGATATTCAGAATGTTACGTTATGTTCGAAATGTAAAGCTCCTACATAATATAGGTCAAAAGATATAGGTCAACAAACGTCAACAAAGGTCAAAATCGAAAAATGAAAAAATCCAAATGTTAAAACCCGTTCCTTTTTTGGAACTATAAGGCTGAAACAACTGAGCTGTTAACACAAACTGGCCAAAAGGATGAGGTAATTGTGTGCAAAGTCCCTTTTTGAACAAACGCATCCTATGCGAGTTATGCCCCTACCTCTAAATGTAAACAATTAGTAATTCAACCCGGATGAGCCACGCCCACCCCAATTTTTTTGTCATAGGTGAATTCATATTCAAAGTGTCTAGTTGTATTCCAAATATCAAGGTTCTACATCAAATAGATCATAAGATATACATATACCAAGCTCAAAAAGACGCAAATATTGTAAAAAAAAACTCAAATTTCAAAAAATCACGAATTTCAATTTTGCTTTAAAATAACGATTGTTATATATGTATGTAAAGTGCAAGAGAAGCACATTAGGAAACCGAAAAAATTAACCCTCTAGGTTAATTAGGTCACGTGCTAGAGCAGTCCAAATTTGCGAATTTGGCTTTTTACGGATAGCTATAAAACCGGAAGTACATGTCGGAGGTCAAAGGTCAAAGTATCAAATGATAGCCAAGGTCAATGACCTTTGACCCTATGAAGGTCAAGGTCATCAAAGGTCAAGGTCACATGGTGTGATCGTTTAAAGCTTTAAAAAATTCAA